CACACACACACACACACACACATACACACACAAACCAAAAAACCAGCGTAAAATGGAACATGCTAAGTGTCCCGGCAGAGAGTTCTCGGGCGCCGCTGATGGCAATTCCCGAACCGCCCGGAGCCACGGGCTCTCGCACACTGGCCACGAGGACCTCTTGACTTTCCGGGAGCTTCCGTGTGCGTGACAGGCCGGGGAAAAACCAAACGGCTACACTGGGGGAACAGCGACTGTGACGTCATCGTTACTAGGGAACAGCGACTGTGACGTTATCGTTTCCAGGGAACAGCGACTGTGACGTCATCGTTACTAGGGAACAGCGAATGTGACGTCATTGTTACCAGGAAACAAAGACTGTGACGTCATCGTTACCAGAGAACAGCGACTATGACGTCATTGTTACTAGAGAACAGCGACTGTGACGTCATCGTTACCAGGGAACAGCTTCTTTTACGTCATCGTTACCGGGGAACAGCGACCGGGAAATAGCGAGTAGTAGTTTGCTATGCAGATACTAACTTTACTTTTACTCTTTCATACTCTGTTGCCGTTAAGCGTCGAGGGGAGATGCAGTTTCTATGGTAAGTCAGCTCCGCAGCTCTTTTAATCGGGGTATTATCATTTCTCAGGGTTTTCTTGTCTCCCGCAATCCACCTTATGCGTGGCCTTCTTCTTCCTTTATAGCCTGAATGCTTGGTGTTATAGGCTCTCGAGGCTGGCTGGCCAGGTGACATACGTAACAGGTGACCAAATCATTTTCTTCTCCGTCTTTCTATGAAAAGCAGGCAGGACTCAGTGCCTATGGCTGCTCATACTTCTTCATTTCTTCGCCTGTCTCGTCATTTGATCTTAATGATTTAGCGGAGACATTTAATCTCCCATGCAGTTACGGCATATCTGGTGTAATCGCTTACAGCATCGTTAGACGTGATCAGGCTGATACGTTCGATTTGGTCTCGGTTTTCAACATCCTGAGCAGAGTCATTCACCCTGAGGTGAGTTTTTTCAGGTTCCCCCCCCCCCCAGAAAATTCCAGATAAACGATTTCAACACAACAATAAACAAATGTGGCACGGCTTTGTGGAATCAGGCTCTCGTCAATTCTTGGGCACATGGGGTTATTGATATCATCTTAAAGCTTGTTCATTTGACTTGCTTTTGGTGAAAAGATATCACTCTTTGTTCAACAGAAGTCGAGATATTTGCAAATGAAAGAGGTGAGGGTTGCCTGGTTTCTGAGGTAAAATTTACGAGAAAATGGCTGCCAAAATTTGGTCATTTCCATAGCTTGCGAGTCCCTAGAAACTAAACATTTTCAGTTTTTGTGCCTTTAATCAATGTTTTTCTGTAAAACCTACACAGAAATAGACTTTTAAATGGACATAAAAGGTGTGGAGCCCCCCAAAATATTTAAAAATTTAGAAAACAATTGCCCAACGGCCAGAAAAACGCCAGTTCCTTTGATATGATCATTTTGACGAGCGCGTGATTTCACCTCGATGCCTCACAAATACAAGTGTAATGCTCTGTGCTCCTTTCCCTTACGTATTATGCCGTGGTTGAGGGTAAAATATTTTACTATTCGGTGGAGTCCAAAACAAAGTTGAAAATGTTCACCCAGTCATCGTGTTAAAGCCTTGCACTACCCACGCGTGCAACATACCGATTTAATTCTGCATCATCTGACACATTAATATTATACCTATGATAAGAGTTGTCCAAGCTATGGTCACTCAAAATTAACCTAAAAAAATCAGACTTGGCAAAATTGTGAGAAATCAGAGAAACTTGAAACTGTATTCGGGCATGTATTGAATTGCATCGATATAGGTGAAATGGATTTGTATTGCTTATCAGATGAATGGACTATTCAGTCTTACAATATTTTGTCTTGGCATTAAATTATACATTGTTACGACAGTTCCGAAACAGATTGGAAAACAGAGCAGTCATAAATATCACGGAAAACTACCCAGACTTAACATTAAATGTGCTCATCAGTATTTGACGTCAATCTGAGATAGAATCGGGGCAAGTGGGAAAACCGTGTAAAGTGCCTATCCCGGGGACACAACGTCAGGCCGAGCAGAGCCTCCAACCACCGAAACTAGAGATGGGCAAAATCCGGATACCTATCCGGATAACCGAATAATTCTCACTGAAACATAATCCAAATTCAGACTCTTAACTCTCTTTCCTGGCCCGTTTGCCGAAGTGGGTGTTCCCATAATTTGCTGAAGTAGTACTGACCCGTTTGTCGAAGTGGTTCTAACCCATTTGCCGAAGCGGTTTATATCATATTATTTGCCAAAGATGTGCACTAACATATTATCCGCATTTTGCTAAAGCGACTCATTGCCCAGCCCTAACCGAAACCGTACTCAAACAATTACAAGTCCGGTAGCATGCTCACGATACGAACCAATAATACTGCACATTTGAAAGAAATTTGTGGGGTGTGAGAGGCTCTCCGCCAACTTGAGAGTGTATTTCTTGTTAAAAGTCAGTGAGTCGACTGTTTTTATGGTCAAATGGAATAGCCTTTAGGTCTGCAGGTGCAATGGAGTCTGACCATAGTATCACTAAATTTGTGTCTGATATTATTTGTAAAAATTTTAGAAAATTGTGTTGTATCAATTTCAAAAACCGAGGTGGAAGAATTTATGACATGTATTTAATAGTGTTCTCAGATGAGTGAGAAAGTAGTGTGCTTTCTACTTTCTTTGAAGAAAACCTTAAGATTTAAGTTCTACAAGCGGGTGATTGAACGAGGGGCTGAACCATTGTCTAAGGTCTAACGGCGCTTTTAATAATCGAACGTATGCACCATACACAAGCTTAGAATTGTTTGCAAACGGCTCGATGCACAATGTACATAATATTCTTGTCTCGCTACCTATATGAAAAGTGGAGCAACGTCACTCTTAAGGCATTTTCCAAGCAACAATCAAATCACAACTTGTATTTGTAGACCATGAAGGAAGGTGTTACATTAATTACATATTTTTAACTCAATGGGAGAATGTATATTTAAACGAGGAAAAATGCTCAGTAATTTCAGTTTTGTTCAGTATTTGTAGGAGGGTCTTTTTGCCTTATTAGTTTGAAAATAAGTCGCAAATACAGATAGATTTTATTTGCCAGCAAACGTGATGGAAAGTCGAATACTTCAAACTTGAAGATGAGGATCTCATAATGCTGTGGAAATGGTGATTGGGTAGATACTAGAGTCTGCGAGTTATCAATAGATAATAAATCGTTGAGAACCTTGAAATGGCAGTCATAACCCCC